CGCCCCGCCGCTCCCCGCGGGCCTGGTAGGGCCCCGGGAGTCACTCGGGTTGCCTCCTGGCCCACGTGGCCCTGGGACACTCCACTCAGGAAAGAGGACGGGACGGCGTGGTGATGGTGGGGGGTCGCAGCGGCGGGGTTCTGGCGCGGAGCACGCGTTGCCGCTGCCTCTGTGAGTCTCTTTGTGGCCTCCAGAGTGACAGTGGGGGTGCGTGCGCCCAGGCTGGCGAACTTCACTTTGTACTTTGCACTTGCCGGGCTAGTTCCTGGGGCGGAGCGGGTGGGGGAAGGGGCCGTGTTTGTCCGCATCACCGGAAGTCTCGAAAGGCTAATTGAGGGATTGCTGGCCCTCCCTGTCCCCGACCGGAGTGTGGAGGGGCTTGCCTTTGGGTCATTTTCGTAGAGAAAAGTGTTGTCCCAACTCCTGTTTCTGCCGCTTGTTTCAGCTTTTGCTGTGAAGGTGAATTTTCTAACACCATCTTTGTGTGATTTAGCTGTCCACGGGGAATCAAAATGTGGAATGAGAGGATGAAACTAATCCTTTCTTTTGCACTGTTAGGGGTTGCCATAAACACCATTTGTTAAAAAGCATAATTATGTTGGGAAAGTGCCTGATGAGACAATTAAGCTACATAAACACCCTGAAAACAAATGAAAACCAGAAGACGCCCACACCCCTTGTGTAAAGCAATTTTTTGTTTACATAGAAATGAGAGGTCTGGGCTGCTTTATTACAACGAGGTTATTAATGTCTAGAAAAACCTAATGATTATGTTTTCATGAAATTTCAGTGATGAGATGATGGTCATAGTATGAAAACCTACCTGCGGATCTGAACTAGCCATGAAGCCCTGAGTTCTGTCTGGGTTAAGATGACGAGGCCAACAAACAGTACTAGAGAAAGGACGGAAGCCCGCGGGTTTATTCATGGAGAGGACCGTTATTTGCACCAGAGAACTTTAGCTTAAACTCTTAAAGTTTGTCTCAGAGTTGGACACCATTCACTGCAGTATTTTCCACATGGAGCACATTACCTGACACAAAGTGGTCATCAAATATTTATTAAATGATCTCACGAGGGCCACATTCTATTAGTTGTGATATTTAAAGGCCAAAATTATGATGTCTTGATCTGGAAAAGGGGAATTGTTTTCTTACTATTTTGAGATATTTTAATTCCTTTAAATTATAATACCATTTGAGGTATGAAAGATAAGTCAACAAATGCCATTCTAGAATATTAAGATTTCTAAGCAACCTCTAAAACTTGTATAATTAGTCCATTTTCAACAAAAGGATTAGTCACATTTTTGGCATTGAGTAATGTATTTCAGGATATGTGTCACTTTTCAAGGCAGAGTCCTATGAACAGATTTAAATTGACTTAGAAACTTTGGAGATTAAAGTACAAGAAGCAACTAAGTCAATCAAACAGTCATCATTTAAAGCACCCAAATGGGTCCCTTTTAAATTGTTCATATAGCGTCCATAGTATGGCAGGTAGGGATATCTTTTCTCTTTGTCACAGGAAGAGTTTTATAAGAGTCAGTATATTAAATAGCTCCCTCATTTTTCCTTTTTCTGTGTTTCCCCAGTAAGTCTAGTTTAACAAAAAACAACAAAAATGCCTATTAAACAGCACAGATCTCCAAAGCAGGGGTACACTAAGGAAGTCCAGACGTAAAATGGGATAGCACACTTCAATGCAAAGTTTCGTTTACATGACAGAATTCAGGCTAAGTAATTTGCCAGGTATTTTCCGGTGTTGTTCATACACATGTGCAAGGCCGTGTAACATGGTTTTTTATTTGAGTCAATCTGAGCATTTTTCTCCTTTAGATGGTCTCTAGGAATGATATAGTGAAGTGTTCATGTTATGACGGCCTGCTTTCCAAAAACGTTATGACTTCTATAGTTAAAAAAAATGGATCATCTACAGTAGCTGAAATTAAGAATCATTTTTCTCCTATTCCAGAAAAAAAATCATGTCTTCCTCCAGACTGGGGCTCCGTTTGGCTGCCTGTTTACTAAACATTTCAGAAGCTAGAAGAAAATACGTTGTTGAGAACATAGCAAAAGCAGCTCTTCTTGACAAAAATGGTAGGAACAACAGACAATTGAAGCGAATGCTGGAGTGTTTTGATAACATAGTGATTTTTGTACTCTGCACAGCGTATCTATAGAACCCTTTCCTTTCTTCCTAGATTTTCCACCTTGTTACAGCTTCTGCACAGCTCCGGGATGCTGAGATAGATGAGTTACTCAGATGTGCACATATGCTCTTTTTCCAAATGCCTGCATACGCTCAGCAGTGCAGCTCTTCACATTTGCCTGTGAGTCTCTGAGATGTGCATCCTTCAGGATGTTGACAGGCTCCTGAGGAGGGATATATTTACATAAAAGTATAATGTTTCCCCCATGGGCCATTTATTTGATGATTAATAGAATAAGCATAATCATACCTTATCCTTTTTATTCAGCAGGCTAAATGAAAACTAAACTTGCCAAATACCAACTACTTTTCAAAGCACTCCTGCCAGCAAAGGCCATGCTATCATTACAGTATTATTATTCCTCCTCCATTTTCTTTGCATAAAGACTCTCAGGCAGTCATGTTTAAGTGACGCACAGTAAGATCACTCAGCAATCCCGTGACTGTAGACTGGAACTCAAGCCTCCTCACATGCTTGGCCATTCTTACTGTGGGAGAGACTATTCTTCCCTCACCTTTCTTAAAATGTTCATGCGACGGCACACAGCTTAGATATCATTTGTGTTTACTTTTGTCCACACATGCATACACATGCACTCACAAAACCCTGCATTTGCAGACTTAGAATTATTTAAATAGAATTGTTTTGTTACTATATCAGTAGCTTTTTGGCAACAGGTAAACATGAAGGTCATAGCCCTGAAGCATTTGAGGTAGTGTATTTTAATTTCTGATTGTTATTTTTGATGTCTGATGTGGTTACTGCTTCTGATGAGAAAGATGTGTCCCCTCCCTCATCTGTCTCTAAATATGAGCCCATATAAGTTACTGTCCTGCAACTTTGTGGGAGCTGGGAGTGGCGATGAAATTCCCTGATACCAGCTGATAAGGGAACTCCTTTGGAGTTAGTATGCAGCTGTGCTTTCTCATGCTCTTTGTGGAAAGAGCCAGCTTGGGCTCTTCATTATCAGACAGTACATCTAATGGGATTGAGTTGCCTGTCTCCGTGATTAAGTCACTGGGCAGAGACATTTGTGGAAGACGTACACTGACGGACGGCTGGGTCTCAACTCACAGTTTTTATCAGCTTATTAGTGGCAGCCACTCAAATGGAATTATAGCTATTATACTCCATTACAAATACCAAACAATTTACTTCTGCTGAGATTCATACTGACAGCTTCTCTTGCCAGCAGTAATTTTTTCCTATATGCATGCTTAAGAAATTGCAGGAGAGAGTGTTTCATTCTTTCAGCATTTGATTCAATTGAATCGTATGAAACTGAGAATAAAAGCTTTTCAGAAGAAATTTTAGGATGAAAAAAATTAAATCATATCTCTTTTCTTCCAGCAGCTAGAATGTGTTGAAAAACTGCATAAAATAGAAGGTTGCACGGTCTCCTTCTTGTTTCAGCTTTATAGTTCGAAAAATGCAGGGAAAGTAGCACTAGTTAAGAAAATGAACCTGTTGTTTTACAAATATTTTAAAGGTACTTATTTTTAAGTGAGTGGAATAAAACTATATAAAGTTGATTTTTTTTTCCAATTAAGCAATGTGAGCACATTTAAATGGCCTGGAAAGCTCTTAGGTAAAGGAACCGAGTTATAAATTTTAGACCTACACCAGGGCAGGGCTCTATAGATGCTCGTTTGGCTATGAGTGAGTGACACATGTTTATCTTCTCACATTATTAAAATTAATAGTGTAGGGCTGCAGTAAGCTCTGTAGTTCCTGGTTGTAACTTATTTTCCCTTTCCTCTGAAAAGAATAATTGTTAAGCTGCCAGGGGACGGGGGGACAAGGTATAATAGCAGAGCTAAAGATTTAATTACCGCCTGAAAACTTTTGTCCTTCACTTTGAATTTGCTTTTGTAGGCATAAGGAGGACTTGTAAGGAGCCTGAGCCAGGCTCGTAAACTTCAAAAATAACTCTGGGGTTATGTATGGCTGCCATACAAGGGAATGGCAGCTTTCTCCTTCAGGTTACACATATTCAAGTGAGTCACAAGCCACCAAAAGCTGGAAGTTGTTAACATCTAAAGGCTGTTGGTGGCCTCTGAAAAGGAGATGGTGAAGTCAGAAGTTTCTAATGGACAGGTGCACGCGTCTCAGAAGCCTCTGCTCTAGGCACTAATTGGCTGATTCTGGTTTTTCCAGATGTCAGATTTTGACCCAGATAGTCTGCGATTCCTGGGCTGTGGAAGGAAATATTGACAAAGACATGAGGCTGATAAGGAACAGAATTGTGAGTGATATGATTTGGCCGTTGAAAATAGGGGCTACCCTCTTAGACTGAGTTAAGAGCACTTTGGCAAATTCGTTCCCAGGTCCTGGAGAAAGGTCTCTTACAGACATCAAAGGCTTGTGTCTGAGCTGAGCCGTCTGGTTATATACTAAGAGGCTGCAAGAAGTGAACATTAGTACTTCTGTGTTTATACCATGTTACTTCCAAAGGTTACATCCCAGAATTTTTCCACTAAACTAAATTTAATTATGCCAGAAGAAATAAAGCACTGAAGGTTCATCACAGTTAAACATTGTTGCACCTTATGTTGTTTTCTACAGGGCAGAAACATCCCGAAGTAACAGTGCTCAATGTATTTTCTGATCAAGACTATAACAGATCAGTCATTACAATAGCAGCTTCTGTTGATAAGTTGGGTAAGATTTCAGTTTTTTCTTTACATATATTATCTTTTTCTTTGATGAAGAGTAGGCTTTGGTACCTGAATGTTCTATAATCCTTGATTTCCTGGGTAAATCGGAATACTCCTCTCCATTAAGTAGAGTCTACTATTAAACTACCTTTCATGACTTTTCTGAACATGTTCATCACAAAACATTCTCCATTTTTCTTTATTACAATGAACCTTGGGGTCCAAGATTTAATGATGTTCTTTTGCCAAAGGTGATCACGTATCCTTTGCGGCTAAGAAAAACATTTTCAGATTTTAACCTGTGAAGTAATAGTGTTGAAGTCAGCCTACCTCCCTGACAAGCTGGCCTAGAATGAAGCATGATGAGCAATATGTTTTGTGCTGGGAGCCTGAGCTGTTGAGATGTGTCATGGGTTGAAATGAAAGGGGCTCTAGATCTCACAGGGATGCTGAAAGGAAGGTTTGGTAGGATAACTTAAATCAGAAGAATTGCAGTTGTTTAACCAAAACCCTGTATTATCCTAGTACCACTTAGTAAAGAATGTTTGAATATTTTCACATAAACATATTTTCAATTTGGCAGATTGTCTTCTTTCCAAAGGCACATTTTGCTTGGAGGAGAGAAGGAAGAGTTAACTGATAACTCCATGCAGGCATAGGACAGATTATCTTGTAGTTACTCTCAGCATAAGACTAAAATCTGCTTTTTCTGTCTTGCTAAAGTGGTCATACTGTACTGCTAATGAAAACTCAGAGCTATAACATAAAGCTCTTCTGTGTCTGGAATATGTATAATAATTCTAAGAAACATCTAATTACTGGATAAGAGCAAAAGTAAAATAAGTATGGTTTTAAAAATTTGTTTGTAGATAATAATTACTCATAAAGCATGCTGAAAATAAGGAATTTAATCAGATTAATTGGAAAAAATAGAAAAAAACTACAGTAACTACTTTTAAAAAATAATAATATGGTGTGGGATCAATACATTTTGCAAAGTTTATCCACTTTGAGGAGGAAAAAGCTAGAAGAAATGTCAGGTTTTGTCACTGTTGAGAGATAGGGGCAAGGAGAAATGTTGGATCTTCTTTGTTATTTTAGATGATAAAAATCTCCTATGCAGATTATGGGAGAAAAGCTACTAGTGGGACGACAAAATCAGAGCTTTTTCTTTAGATGCAACTGAAAACTTAATGATTATTTTCACAATTTTAACATTTTTAGGCAGTTCTGTTCTGGCTGCTTGCTTGGAGGCCTTCCATGCTATTGATATGGAAGTTCAGGAGGGAATCCACCCTTGCCTGGGAGCTGTGGACCTGATTCCGATTTACCCTCTCTCTGGTGTCGGAGTGGAAGAGTGCGGAGCGGTGGCAAGAAGTAAGACCAAGTTGGAGGTTGTGTGTTATTCCTTACTAGAAACTGTTCTTACAAACCAAAGCAACTGTGACAATCTAAGCATTCCTCAGCTCCCTGGGAAAAGTTGATCTTGAAGAGTTCTGTCAATGATAAGTGCTCATGGGTTGCCGTGGTCCCCTGTGCCTTTGTGGCCCACGACATTACAGGATAAGACTTGCTGTGAGATATGGCAAAGAAAAATCAATTAACAATAACTTTTTCCCTTACAAATTCACAGTAGAGCATGAGGCAACAGCTGTAGTTTCTAATGAGTCCTTTGGACTCTTCAGGGCAGAATGATGGTGTGTTTTGTCCATCTGTGTCCTATTTTCTTGAGCAGGGGTAATGATGAGGTTCAAAAACCACTTAAATGTTAACTCTTACTCCTTTCGCCTCTGATATTTTTTTCTTCTTTCCCTATGTACAACTCTCTCTAAGATTTTCTTTAGAGCCAAACTGTAACATACATGATTTCAGCCCCAGGGGTGAGGTTAATTTGGAAAATTTGAGCTGTGTCACTTAAGGTGTTTTTGAATTAGGGAAATTGGGAGAAAAGAAAGACCTTTTTGGTCGGACTGACTCTGCCGGTACCACGGTTAATTATGAGAGCAGAAGCTCATAATCTTCGGGGAAAAGTCTGCCTTAGGATAATTGCGTTCTTTTCTGTGTGACCTCAGAAACCCTCTCTGATATAGCTTCATTTTTAATTAATGGTGAATTGTCTAACATTTGGGATGTAGATTTGGACTTTAGCTGAGCTACAACAAGCACCAGAAATAGGAAATGAGACTTGTTTCCAAAGGAGTTCCTTGCTGCTGTGCTGCATTTTAATGTGACCTGACAGTTGAGGGCTTATTTCCCAGGGAAATCTTGGCCCCTGCGTTAGGTTTACTTTTTGGCGAGAAAGAGTTAAAATGCAGCATGGGGGAAAATATATTTCGCACAAAAATGAAGAGTTCAGAATTGTCCAGACCAGAGTAATGATTTTAATTGTCTTCAAAACAATTACAGACAATTACATTAAATCTCAAATTAGCCAGTACATGAAGTTCTTCATTACATCAGGACTAGTCCACCCCAGATGTTCGTCCTGTGCAGGAGACAGTTGAGAATCAGTCGGCCTGGACGCAGCATCTCTCCCTTTCCTGCCCTTTGCTTCATTGGCAGCTATTATACCTCATGATTTAAACATGGACATTTCTAATTAAATGAGAGCTCAGCTGCATTCTTGAACTAATTTATAACATTTGATTTGAAATGTAATAGCTTCAATCTTCATCTGATTAAAAACAGTCATATACTGTACATGGTTACTATTTTGATGCTCCAACATGCAGTTTTTATTTTTATATTCCCTTTTCTACACAGCTGTTCATCTAATATCATCCAAAAATTTTTAACTTTTTTTCTTTCTTTTTTTTTTTTTTTTTTTTGGTAACAGCATGCCCAGGCATTCTTATGAGGCAGAAATATTCACATTCTAGGATCCCACTGTTCTCAGAACAGTGAAAGGATGTTTTCCACTAGACCTAGGCTTTCCCAGGGAAACCAACTTTAAGATAATAATTTAGCTAACCTTTGTTGGACAAAGGCCAGTGGATAACACCCTGGGGGCATAAAAGATAGTTAATATTGATATATATAACTTATGTATGCTTTGTATGCAAAAATGCTGAATAATATACAGTATTTCAGAACTTTTTGATATAGTTAGAAGCTTGCTTATACCTTAAGGAAGGGGGTTTTGAGGTGGGTCCAAAATTGGTGTTTAGGGATTTATAAGTACTGTCAACATTTTTTACAAGTTTTTTTTTTTTTTTTTTGAGAC